CGGGTTCAATCGCACGCCCCCTCTGGAGGGGGCGTGGGCGTGGGGCGTGCGGGGGAGGGGGAGGGAGTGCGTTTATCAACGCCCCCCAAGTGGCTGGTCAGGGTTCAGAATATGTGGTCTAAACTGGTTACTTGGTTATAGTTGCTGAACTACAAGGTTGTACATATTACACAAGCCTTGGAACCTTGTTTATCTTGAGTTCGCATCCAATGAACTTTGTTTATGTCATCAGCTGATTTGGTTCTGTAACTATTTACAGAATTCTTTGTTTTTTGAGTATGTAGTTACACAGTGGTATGTACCTACATGAATTTTGTTTTTATTTTCTAAGTAAAGTAAAAAAGTTTATTTTTATTTTTAAAGGCCTTTGTGGTCATTTGCAGGCTTTTGACCATATACACTTTTATATGTGGATTTTTATGCTTAATATTAATTTATTATTTATAATATTTTTTCTTGGGCTAGTCTTGAGACTTGACTATGAGTTGTAATTGTTATTTTTATTATTTTATATTTTGAGGCCTATGGGTATGTATATACCTCAAGGCTGACACACAGGTACCCGGCACAGGTACCCGGTGTGGAACTACTCAACCAGGGAGATAGAGCTTGGAGGGGATATAGACAACTACACTAGTACTAATGTAAGTTGATACTACAGGTGCTGATGAGGCTGCCCTCCTGTACAATGCTGATGGGAAGAGTTTAACACTAAGAAAAAGAAGAATAAAGGTGTGGCTGATTTCTACTTTATCTTAGACTACTATTACTGATGAGCTTGTGTATGTAGTACCTACTGAGGTTTGAGGAGGAGGAGTAATGAAGTGTGAGGGGGATAATACTGGCAAGGGGTAACACTGGCAAAGAGGAATGGCACTGGCGAAGGGGATAATCTGGCAAATGAGGATTTATAACTGGCAAGGGGGGATGTATAACTGGCAAATATAACTGGCAATGATATCTGGTAAAGATATAAGGGTGATACTAGTATTTCTGATTTCTATGACTATGGTTAGAAGATAATTCAGGCAAGGCACATAGCATAAGGGGGAAAATACATGAGGAGGAAGAAAGAGTATATATGTGTACAACATGTACATACAACAGCAAAGCAGAATGGCAGGGGAAATCCTGGCTATGGGTAATGTAAGTCTTAAACAGTAATGAGTGATGAGAAATAATGTAGCTAAGAGACAGATGTTCTGTGAATACAAGTGTTAATCAGGTATGGAAAGTCAAAGCAGTGTGGAGGGAAATATGTACATGATGTAATGTAGTTAAGGTTATCCTGATTGATGTATGTAGTTATGGTTATGC